CACACACACACACACACACACACACACACACACACACACACACACACACACACACACACACAGTGTGTTCTCAGCTGGTCCCAGTGTTAGCAGGATGATGCTGAGCTCTAGTCAGCTTCTGTCTCCTTACAACGCTGCTGTTCGTTAGTAAATAGTGAATGGACCAGTACTTAAATAACACTTTTCTACTCTGAGCACTCAAAGCACTTTTTGCTATAATCCTCATCCACCCAGTTGCACACAAATGTGCTTTTCCCCCACCTAAGCACCTTGTTTAACACTCCCAGACAAACATGCACCAGCAGATGCATCAGGGCAACACAGAGTTCTCCATCTTGGCCTGGGTTAACAATAATGGCAACTATGCTGTTGTTGTGCATAAACAAAGGAAAAGTTCAGTATTTGCTACTTAGTGCTGAGTAAGAGACTAATAATGTATTAGAACTTCACTCAAGTCTGTAGCTCAGAGCAGGTAATATTATTTATAAGATATTTCCACAAGAAATGCTGCAAAAGGCACCAGATTCCTGAATCTCTTCCAACGCCTGCTCACAGTCTCCATGCCTGCAGCATCAGGTCAGCATTGCAGGAAAACTGATGGTGAACACACAAATGCATGTTTCTGTGGCAGATCATCTGTGGTTCTAAATGGTTTGTAAATCTTCCTCAAAAGTGTCACAGACCTTGTAAAAGTGCAGTAAGGGCCAGATGAAAAGGCTCGAATCTCTGGACACTATAAATGTGTCCTTTAGATGTCATTCTAAATTGAAAAGCAGCTAATAACTACAGTTATCAAATAAAAAGAGAACATAATGCTGCTTGGAGCAGTAGATGTGCCAAGATAATGTCTTGTACTGGAAATCTTGCATGGCAAAAAAAACCCTCAATTGCTAAATGTCTTCAATGTTACTGGATATTGGTGTTCTTTCTTATTGTTATATTTCTGTTCTGTTGCTATGTATAAAAATGCTGTGCTAAATGCATTAGTACACAGAAATCATTCAGACATCTGCCCAAAGCTTTAAAGGCTCTTAACATGTGATAAACCATGGAACCTGTCTGTCCAATCATTTGATTGTCTTGGACATAGGATATAAAACATAATAAGTTAAAGAAAAAGAAAAAAAAGGTAGTTAAAAATTCACTACTTGAGTAATTTGCACTGGACCTGCAAGAAAAACAAAGATTTGTGTGACATCAATCCTCACCTTTGAAGAGAGGGGCTGCAAATAAGTACAATTTAAAAAAAGTTCTTTTTCTTTTGCTTACAAGGGACACTTTTATCAAACATAAGTCTCTCTGATAAGGCACGTAAAGTATCGAGCATCTAAATAAAGGTAGTAAAAAGACAGTCGGGCTGTTATCAGCAGTTATTTATATTTCTCCTGACAGCAAAAAGTTACATTCCCCAAGACCGAAGCACATAAATCAAATAACGACGTGAAGGTTGTGACAAAGAGCCCAAATAATCTCAAGTGACAAAATCATCTTCAAGAGTGCAATCATCCGTAAACCCTCGACTGCTGCAACTGCCTGTCACGCCAGACTCATAAATCACTGTCAGCCAAATGGAGATTATGGAGATATATGTTTACTTTAGTATCACATCAATGCAGCGCTGTCTGTGTTTCATTTTATGCTTTTCTTTCCTTTCTCTCCCTCATTAGACTTATACATTACC